AAAGTTAAATTTTGTATTACCAGCAACTTCAGTTTTAAAAATTACTGAAGTGCACATTTTTATGCATAAAGTTGATTTGGGGGACTGATTAAGGCATATCTTGGATTAATCTTAAAACTAAATTATGATTGTCCATAAATGGCCACAGCTAGGTTTTCATAATAGTCAAAAAGGTGAATACAATTCAAATATCCATGAACTCATGAAAGGATAAATAAAATGTGTATGTCAGACAATAGAATATTATTCAGCCATAAAAATGAAATGAAGTTCTGATACGTGGTACAACATGGATGAACCTTGGAAACGATATGCTTAGTGAATAAAGCTGGTCACAAATGACATATTGTATGATTCTATTTATAAGAAATGACCAGAATAGGAAACCCAGAGAAACAGAAATTAGATTAGTGGTTGTTTAGGGCAGGGAGGTATCGAGGGGTTTGAGTAATGTTTAAGGCAGGGGTGGGGAACGTCCCATATAAGGCCCACAACATCATTTGGTCTGGCCTTGACAAGGCATTAGGGGTGAGTTAATTAAATGTTTGACCAAATACATCACCCTAATTTTTAAGTTATGGCCCTTAAATGATGTTATAAATATCCAAATGGCCCTTGGCAGAAGAAAGGTTCCCCACCGCTGGTAAAGATTGTAGGGTTCCTTTGGGGTAATAAAATGTTCTAAAATTGACTGGGGTGATAGATATGTAACGACTATACTAAAAGCTATTGAAATGTGCACTTTAAATGGGTCAATTGTACAGTATGTGCATTGTATCACAATAAAGCTGTTAGAAGTTAAATTATGAGGTTATAGACAAAATATCTTCCTTTTATTGAGTATATAAAAGTAAAATGGAGAGCTTTATATAATCTTACCTTATTAGCACATGTCAGATTACTGAAGCCATGTCCAGTAATCGTTACCAGTTCATTTACTGTTCCGGTAGATGGACTAATGTTGCTGATAGATGGTGAAAAACAACTTGAAAGCTCAAAGAGCAATTTATCTGAATTTTTAACCCCGGTATTGTTCAGGCCACACAGGGGTTCTGTTGCTAGGCAGCCTGTCACAGAGCTTCCCACGTGCAAATTCACAGGTTCTCCTTTAGACAAAAGAACTGCCTGTAAGTCATGGATAATATTCTAAAGTAAGAGCTGTTTTCAAATTTCATTACTCTTTATTTTGACCATGGTGGTTTATATTCTAGTAAACCCCCTTTAAAAAAAAAAAGACAAGAGGGGTCCCAGGCAGTACAAAGTTAAAAGAAAACCTGGACAAAGACGATACAGTAAAGAGTGAATATAAAACTAACTTATTCTTCAATTTGTCTAAGGCCAGATCCCAAGGGGAAAATAAAAAAAATAACATCATTTCATAGTTTAATGTATTTTGGGGCATGTACAGAATATCAGAACTTTTTAATATTATATCTTATTTGAGGCACACAGGATTCAGGGAGAATGGCAAGACAACATTAATATGATCCTTATTAATAGAATAAACTCCAGCCTCAAAGTAGTCCAGACCTATTCCAGGTCCTGTGGCTAGTAAGAGACAGAAGCAGTATTGGACCCAGTTAACTGCATCCTAATCCAGAAAGATTAAATATGCCCGGGTCACCAGAGTCACAGGGTGTCCATCTTTAGCTCTTACCCTGAGCGTATGTGGCTTCGGTGCTGCCCACAGACAGGTGCAGGGGAATGTGCCTGCTTTCAGCTGGTAGAACGTTAATGACTCCTTGGAGAACAATGGAGTGGGCCTCATCAACATACCCACTGCTATAATAATGGATTCCAGGTGAAGTAAATTGGTAAGAAAATGAACCTGCCATAATATAAGATTGTACATAATAAATACAAGCAATTGATGCATCTTTGAAAAGAAATTTGTTCAAATTCACATGCAGATGACGTTTCTTATGTTTCATATATTCAACAGAACGTAAGTGGTAAGGAAACGAGTCAGTGGCTATAAAGAGCTATTGTGTATAATGAACTTACATTGAGGAAGACAAGATCCAGCTTTAACTTTTCTAGAAAAAGATGTCAAGTCTGGCATAACTTACCAAAGTTTAAAGAACAACTCAACAAGGAATGAACAATAAACAAATAATACTTAGTTTGTGTTCATGAGTAAAAAAGTTTCTAACTGCTACATGTGTACAATAAAAAGACTGTCTAAAAGGAACACTGCACGGAGTTGTCCTAGAATAAATACTGATGATAAGCTGATTCCAATTAACAGAATTTCATTCCTTGCTAGTGGACTGGTATGCTTAAAAAATATTCCAATTTCCCTTCTATTTTGCTTGTTTCTATATATTTTTCTATTGGTTTATTCTAGAATGAATAAAGATACTTTTGGTATCAGAAATTCATCAGCAATATATAAAATACCTTGCTTACATTCACTTATATCTTATGAATTTGTAAATTTTTGCTACAGCAAAAAAAAAGTCAACTAAATCAATTTGTATATTTGCATATATTATTTACACATGTATTTTAAATCTAAACAAAATACCTTTTTATTATATCTAGAATAAAGAAGCACGATGCAAAACTCAACAAAGTGGAAACATACCTGATACGGATTTTTCTCTTCCATTCATAAATCCTTTGCCATCATAAGTTACACTTCCAGGACTGGAGACAGAGAAAACTCTATATCCTATTCCCGTAAGAAATGGACGTGCTTGCCAATGCCATGTCACAGTGTCTCCCACAGATACATTTAAGACTGATGGTGACCAGGCATAACCTAACCCATGTACTGGGAGCAAAAAATGGGTCACATTTATAAGAAAAAAAGGAATAAAACATTCTTATAATTATCTTTGAAAATATTGCATTTTTATATAGCTACTAGTGAAATCTTTTTACATAACATGGTAAAACTCATATGTGCATAATTCAAACATGTAACAGAAATAAACAGAAATAATGAAAATTAAAGACAGAAGCTAAGGAAAAAAAGTAACCTACACAACAATCAAACTGATGATCAAGACACAACTTGAAAATAATCAGAAAGTCAATAAACAAGTTGTTCAGAAATATCTCATGAAAGTTTTTAAAGCCGATTAATTTTTTAAACATATTTTTCTCAGGCACAGAGGCCTACAAAAATCTATATAATTTCAACTTGAATGTTCATTAAGAAATCCACTGACTGATAACAAACTAGAGTAATTCAGGAGATTCTGTGATGCAGTAAAACCAACAGCAATTACTGAACTTGGAAACTAAAATCTGGCCTTTTGAACTCAAGTCTACCATTGATTCACCATGTAGCCCTGTATGTCAGTGGGGGTACC